AAATGCTATATATGACATAAAATAATTTAAATACTTTTATTTACTTCAAATATTCGGTGAAAAAGTACACGGGAAGAACGAGGGAAAATTGAAATAAACCTTTGATTCACCCTAATATTATGTACAATACTTGATACGGTATGAGTATAATAATCTTATGAAACTCCTATAATAATAATAAAAGCTCTCATATCAAATATGTAAAATATTTGGCAATATATGAGCAATGTAAAAGCATGAATCAATACACAATTTATACAAAATAATCCAGCTACTTAATGATGTACATATTTGGACCAACATCTAACAATAAGGATAACCACATAGAACACAATCGCTAATAACCAAACGTCGTTGGTGCGACGTTAAATATGTAAGGAAAGAAAAATACAATCGACATATTCGTTTCTACCGCATGTACAAGTTCCTGAAGAGTAAACTTGCGTTACTGATTAACCCTTAAATGGACGATTTTTGTTTCACGTTTAAAAGAAATATATTTGTGTAATAGACATGTGTTACTGTCTAGGAAAAATAAGTAAAAAAATCTAGACATGAATTTACTATACTTTTTAAAATTCGTTCAGAAATAAGAACTAGTTGTCAAAATTACAAAAAAATAAAAGAAGGTCAATTTTATCTGTGATGTTTAGTATGTTGTTTAAAAACAACATTGTCCATTTAAGGGTTAATGAACCTGCACGCATTCAGGTGTGAAAGTACCAACATTTTTTCTAATTTTCTCGCCAGAATTACAACCTGCCCGGATATGCTACAATTTCCGATCCACCCTGTATACCTTAATTATTTTTATCTCTCATCGCAGACAAAGTTACAAACCGACAAAGAGAAAAGTAGTAAAGTGTTCGAATATTAAATTAACTCTGTATCTTTGAAGATTCAGATTCGTACAAGTCGAGTTAAACTTTTAGCGATCGCGATGGTGATACGTCAACAGTGAGTCGATACCCATCTCATGTGAGTAACGCAGGAAACAGAACGATTATTATGCCAGCCTGGCAGGCAATCTTGTGAGAACCGTAAGACGATTCATGTATCGACATTCCAGGATAGTTGCCAAGCAGGAAATATTTTTAAAAGGGGTGTAGACGACGATGCCGAATTGCTCGACGATGGAAAAAATCTATTGAACGGTACACGAGTCTCGAGAGTATAGGTACAGCCGCATTAGAAGTCTTTTTCTCATTACCAGTTTGCGGCGTCTTTTTCACTCATTTTTCTTGTTCCCCATCTCTGTTGACGTTTCGCAAAACACGTGTATTAATGGTTATTTTCGCGTATGCGCATGTTCCACATGATTTCTCGTTGGATTAAATGTTGAATACAAGACTTTTTTTCGTTTTGGAAATATTGGAGATTGCGTTGATTCCACAATTGAGGCAAGGAATTTTGTAGTCTTGTAGAATTTTGCGATTATATTTTATTTTGACATTGGTGCTCTACGTTCTTTATTTTCACGTTCTTGTAAACAACTGGTATTTCTTAGGTGAGCTTTTTATAGAGTTTAAGTTTCAATGACATGGAATTACGAATTTGTGAAATTGTAGGATTGAGAGATTGTAGAAAGGTACAATTGTGATAATGAAGAAATCGCGACATTGGAGGAATGGGAAATTGCGGGATGATGGGATTGTGAGATAGTTAAATTGTGGGATGGAGGGATAATGTGAACGTTGTTTTGTGAGATTGTGGGATTTTGGGAATCGTGGAATTGTTAGATTGTGGAATCATAGGATTGCGAGATCGCGAGTTTGGAAGATTATGAGATTGTGAAACTGTGAACTTGTAGAATTGTGATATTGCAATATGTAAAATTTCATAACATAGTTAAATTGTGGGATTGTAAGATGGCGTGAACGTGGTTTTGTGAAATTGTGGGACTTTGGGAATCGTGGAATTGTTAGATTGTGGGATCATAAGATTTTGAGATCGTGAGTTTGGAAGATTTTTAGATTGCGAAGCTGTGACTTTTTAGAATTGTGATACTGTAACGTGTTAAATTTTATATATTTAACTCAGTCGACGATATGCAAAACATGTATTGTAATTGTTATTTTCTCATATGTGCGTTTTCCTCCTGATTTATAGTTGGATAAGGTGTTGAATAGATGATTTTTTTCGTTTCTCAAGGTACAGCAATTCGTTTTAATTAAGCTTGAAGGTTTGAAGGGAATGGTATGTGTACTGGCTGATAGGCTTGTGTATTTACTTTGAATTGTGACCGGATGAGAATTCGTTTCGGACGGTGCTTACAAAGGAGTTAATAAACTGTAATTGATCATAATTGCTAACTCGGTTAGACTGCGTCTCGACGCTGCAATATATAGGTTACTTTGCTAAACAGTTTGGACTAGTTTCACATTAGTACGCAAAATCCACTTAATTATTTAATCCATGTTTATCGTGAAATTTCATTGCAGCGCGTGGCAGTCATTACACACAATGAAATACGGTGGTTCCAGAAAGTATCGGCACTCTCTCTCTTTTCCTGGAATATCTTTGCACTCTGAAGCGATATTTCAATTCGAAATACGTTTTTGGTGCCTTTTACGAGACAGAAGTTGTACATTTTTACGGAACTTTGAATGATTTAGTATAAGGAAGTTACAAAGAAGAAATGAAAATTCCTCAGCCATGAAAATAATGGCATACTTACAATTTGAACAATAGGATTGTATTTTGCTCGTTTCATGAATTTAGTTTTTGGTTGGAATTGGTAAAGTAATCATGTCTAGCAAAAAGAACGAGTTACGAGTGTTTGGACGGAATGAATTGTTTCTGTATATGTAATTTTAATTCATAAATTAATCATATCTCTGTATATAATTTCCTTTATAAATTAACTATATATCTATACAGAGTTTACCCGTTAAATTATGCCACCATTTATTAGGTATTCCTGGTAGTGCAATTAAAAAATGTTTTAGACAAAATTTTATCGGTTCTTGGTGAGTTATATGTTCGCATATTTCCAAACCTGAAAAAATGCCTTTTACGTAAAAATGTAAAGGTCACCTTGACTTTTTAGAATGGTTTAATAAAAATTATTTCTTACAAAATAAATCAGGTTACATCAGACGTTCGAATTGCGATTCATCTTCTACGATACAGAGCTCCGCTCTTTGTATTAAAGTTTTCGTTGTCGCCATAATTAGTGTCAATGTTTGGCGTGGCATTTTAATTACCATCTGATGTAACCTGACTTACTTTGTAAGAAATAATTTGTCATTAAAATTACGTTCCCACAAAATTTTCGAGTTCAAGGTCATTTCAATGTCGCGTCGTAGTATAATACACCATTGAATTCGTCTCGACATCAGCATCGACTCTATGACGTCCAAAACAGATGGTGCCATTTAAGAAAGTCGAAGTGACCTTTAGATTTTTACGTAAAAAGCATGTTTTCAGAATCAGACATATGCGAACATGTAGCTTATCAAGATCTGATAAACTTTTGTCTAAAACATTTTTTAATTGCACTGCCGGGAATACCTAAAAAATGATGATATAATTTAACGGGTATACCCTGTATAGTTTTAATTAAAGTTACTCACTGTACATATGTGTATCACAAACAAAGTTTCTATTACTGCTATTATTTTGATGAGTTTGTAATAAAACGCAACGGTTCAATTTACACAAATGCAGACGCGAGCATACCAGCCCAGAAACATTGATACGACGCCACGTACGTAGCTCAGGGTGTGATAATACCGTGCACCGTACCGTGTGTACATATTCGCAATCGATGTTGCAAACTCGTAACTTGTTCGCGAACGAACGAACGGAAAGTTAGATTGGTCGTAAAATCCAAGGTGCCAACGAGGAGACCGTGTCTGATGACATGGGAGGCTGTAACGGGCCAGAGGGCAGGTAGGGCGAGCACCTTTTTCTCATCAAGAACATGAATGGATGCGACATTAACGAGATCGACTGCCTTAACGAAAACCGATCGGAGGAATATTGGATTTTTAAGCGAGACCTAACCCAGACCTCCCGCGGACGGTGATTCGAATCGAGGTGATCCAATATACTTAAATGGATTTCGAGACTCTTGCACCGCGAAAGCATGGAATATCGTGTGTCATTCCATCGGGCCTCTATTCAGTGTACCAGAACCGAGACTGTGAATATTAAAAAAAAAGAGTAAAACCGAGGGAACGAAGATCATTGACAAGTTTGCTAGACCGTTATAGTATACTACCTTTAGTAATCTACTCTATGGTATTAAACTTTAATCTTTGCATACGATTCTGTCATTGTTCTACGAGTCTGCTTTTCGGTGATACTATCCAGAAGTTTGTCAACTTTGAGGTCATCGATTTCGTTGCTACCTTAAAGAACGATTTCATGTTCCCTGGGCATTGTAAAATTGTGGAATTGAAAGATTAAGACACTGTGACATTGTGCAACTGTGGGATTTGCTAGTTGTGACCAGTGGCCTCGGTGCAGTCGTTAAAATATTAATATTCGATAGACGCTACACGTCAAATTAATCTTGTGTGACTAGTGGAAGCACTCGAGTTCCTTGAATAGTGGATTCGTTACTTACCAATCTTTACAAACAAAGGTCGGTGCAGGCCTTGTAAACAATGCAATGATCCAATATACTTAAATGGATTTTAAGACTCCTGCACCGCGAAAGCGATACCATGTGTCATTTTATGATCGTGTGAGCCTTCTGTTTAGTGTTTGGGGAACCGAAAGAGATATTAAACAAAGAAAAAAGCCGAAGAAACGAAAATTTCTGTCACGTTTACTTTCTATACTTCTCACACTAGTCTACTTTGTAGTATCGAACTCTGGCTTTGCTATTTTATCACTCGTCGAGCCTATTTTCCCGCGATACTATCCATTTCTAGATTGGTTCGAGGTTCGCCAGGCAAGAGTGATGGAACGTGTTTGTGTTCTGATTTGTGACGAGTGGTCCCTGCTAGTATTTCCGAAGTGGTAGTTAGAGTGAAAATTAGTGTACTCACCATAGGTGCGGTTATTGAATTTGGATACTCGAGATGGAAAAATGGCGGTGGTCGAAGCGGCGGATGATCGACAACCGAAAGTATGGCAACCGTCTGCGAACGTTTCGGACTCTTCGATGCGCTCTGGCGAACGAGTCGTGTACTTCTTATTGGTAGGAGATAATGAAGACATGGCGCTACTAAATAAAAATTCTCTGACGGATGGAGCCGCAGCGGTGCGAGGTGTTTTTAAGCAAATTTATGACTGATCAGCTCTTGTTAGTGGTTAACGTATCTGTGTTTGTAGCTGTCATCCAGCTATCGTTATTTATACTTGTGCACGTTATCATACGAAGCGTTGGATGAACTGATAGATTCGTAAATAGCTGCGAGCCTGATCGTTTACCTACTAGACGGGAAGCTAATGCAAGCAAAGTCGTCCAATCGAATTGATCACATGAATAATATATAAGCTATAGTGTATAATACATGTGATGAAATGAATGCTGCCGATAATACAGACTAGTGTTTGTCAAGCTGTGGTCCGCGAGCTATCGGATGAATCGGGAAAGAGGATTACGTCACAATACCTTTCGACACATCGTGGTCAAAGTTACTTGGCAGAATTAGAAACGGAAACAAAAATGATCAGAAAACAAGTTTGCACAATAAAACAAAATGACAAGAATAAAAGATTAGCGATAAATATTGAATAATCGAAGATGAAAAACAGAGGTTTTATTAACTCTTTTCCTTCTGAGAGGAGATAGAGAATTTATTCTACTTCTTTGTCTACGAGTTTTTATTTTAGGAGATGCATAGGTTTACATTGAGATATTTGCAATTAATACAGTTATAGATAAATATCCTCCACTCATCGTCAGTATTATCATTATTAATGTGCACAAAAATATTTTACTCTGAAGTTAGCTTCTTCCGAACTATTCCGTTACTATTTAATTTAAAGTATTGATATTGAAAGACATGAAATGAAGAAGTTATTTACTTTCTAACTCCTATCATTATGATTCTACGATTACCAGTGTAAAAATGTGAAATATTAATTATTAAGGCACCAATTAATTGTAATTATGTTTTTGGAATAATTTAATCTCAAACTTCTTTTATTTGGTACGAGATATTTTCGTAACTATAAATATCTGTCGTATCGTTGATACGTCACGTTAAATTAATTGGACGTTAGACGTCATGAAATGTGATTAAGTTAAAACAAAAGAAATGTTGAAAGCTTATCGTAACAATTTATAGTACTATTTTTAAAATTTATATTATTATTTTAATTTATATTACTTTGAGATTTAACCAAATAAACCGTACTTTTATGTAAACGAAAACGATTACAACCTGTAGATAATTAATAATTAAATAGCACAAGCGTAGCATGTCCATGCGACGAAATTGCACGATTGTTAGGAAGATTAGAACTCTCGGCCTTCGAAAACCATAGAAACGCTCTGTGAAATTATTAAGTGTTCTAATTAATCTTTCCTTTTTTTGAGAGCAAATAATTTTTGGTATCAAAAACACTTATTTTCGGAAATAACTTATTCTCTTCAGACAAATGTAATTGATTTAAATATTTAGCCAGTGATAACGGTAGCGGGCTGTGTGTCGATAACCCAGCCAAACGTGAAAAATAGATAAGAGGTCAAATGGGTAATTCTCTGTACCGACCCGCACTTCACATCCAAGTTCCTAATATAGTATATGGCTCGGAGGGTGCTTATGGCCATTACATGTAACGGTAAGAAGGATCTTATCGCAAAGGAGGAGCAGAAATGTCAAATATAGCGGTAGGAACTGAATGTACATATGCTATGAAAGTGACCATTTATAAGATTCAGAATTTGTAGACACTCTTTCAATGACACTTTGAGTTTGCATGTTTGCAATAAGAAATCCTCTATTATTGTAACAAGCACTCGAAGCACTTGCAGTCTTTTCGTATACTTTGGTAATGATCGTTCTGTGTAAAATTTAACACATTGATAGCAACACCAGTAGATCTGTATTGAAGAGCTAGAGAATGCCTTTGGATTGAATTCAACATCGATTAGAACGTTTGAAACAAGTTTTCTCTTTCTTGTTTCGTGGATTTCGTATTGTACAAAATAAAGATGAGTAATTCACAAGTACTGTTATCATTTACAAGAAATATTTTTGTTTATATTGTAATCGGTGTGGTGAACTTTGGCGAAGTATAAGAGGAAGAAAAGGAGGAAGTCGAAGAGGCTTAGTTTGAGAATCGAGTTATCGCGTGTTATTCATTCAATCTCCAAGGAGGTAGCTCTCGTTATCCGATTATGCGATTTACTTTTACGAGCACACGTACTACAGGGAAGTAGCGTAAGTTGGGAGAGGGACGTGACACAAACGCAAGTGGATAATGACAGCGGTGGATATGGTTGGTTTATCAGTTATTCAGCGAACCGAGTGTCAGCGTGACAGATAACTGACCTTCCTTACCCAATTCTCGTATAACCAAAGGATTGGCCAAACCTTTAAGGGACCTTTCTGATTAAAATTCATGGAAACACAGGTTGTCTAGTGAATTTTTTTCAAAAAAGATAAAAAAGGATACAACATATGGTCACTTTTGTGGCATCCAGACACACATTATTCAAGTAATAGGTTGACTCATAATTATCCGACCTTCATAGAACAGAGACCTCGATAATATCGACGTGACTCTTTCCCTATGATAATAAGGCAAAGAAAATGTATGGGTTGTCCGGAAAGTCCATGCCGATTTTTGGTAGATGGTACAGGTCTGAATGTATCGAAGTGGTTGAAAACAAATAACATGCATACATCTCTTAAAGGGTGAAAAGGTTGTGGAACAAAATGGCACCTATGTAATTCAATAAATATATATTAAAATTCAAACGTGTTTTTGAATGTTTCTTAGAAATTGCCACGAACTTTCTGGACAACCTAATATTTTCATTTATTACACTGATGATTAGAAAAAGAAGTCCAATAACATTACAACTGAAAATCATGTATACTTTTTAATTGTAAAAAATATCTACATGTATATGTTATACGTTACGGCATTTTTATAAACCTCGTTTTAGTTCATTTAACTTTTATATTAATTGGATTATTATAAGAAAGTATAAAAGTAATTTGAATACTGTATTATAAACTTGTAAATATTTTATAGTATTCAATCATGAATAATTTATCTTAGCAGACATAATGCTATACAGAACAACTAGAATATGTGTGTACATATATTACCAACTAGGATCAAAATTAATTACAGTTGAAACGTATGAATAGATTAATTTAAACTCTACATGTTCTGTTAAACGAACGATAAATACATAACTACATAATATTTACTATTAATGTATGAGAGAATTGTCGGTTTCACAAAATATATAAATTTTCCATACAACATAGATCGTTCCCTACCCAATTCTCGTATGAGCACAGGCTTGGCCAAACCTTTGAGGTACCTTTCTCACTAAAATTCTTCGAAACACAGGTGGTCTAGCGAATTTTTTCTTGAAAAGAGAAAAAAAGAGGATACAACAAATTTTGTGACATTCTGTCACACATTATTCAAGTAATAGGTTGACTCATAATTATTTGACATTTTGCTGTAATGCTTTACGTGTCGTAATCGATATCGCGTCAACAGGATGTTGGCAATTTTTGCATACTTCTCCATTCGAAGTTCGGTACGGTAAATATTGTTTCTAATTACGGGATGGACGTGGCTGCTACCACGAACTTTTGCACGGAGAATGTAAAACAAGCAGCCAGAGCAACTTACAGCGATATTAACAGCGGCTTTTATTGCTTCTTTCATCAGTCACGAGATACTCGGTATTAACGGTGCCTTTGCTTCGTTTCTTATTGCCGCGTATTTTCTCGAATCAACGACTTCTGTGGGAAAAGTATAAAACAAAGCACGATAGAAAATGAAGCAAATGCGATTTAACTGTTAGATTTCTTGATCTCATCAATTATTCGCGGCTACGTATCATGCGAGTAGTCTTAACCTTCTATCGCGTGAATTTTATTTTACTTGTTTCTTTCAAACAAGAAATTATTTCTTGACTATTTTTGTGTGGTCATGAATGAACCCCTTGACGCACAATGACGAATCAGGGTCGTCTATTTATTTCATGTGGCGGTGTAGACTTTGACGAGTCTGACTCGTCGAAAGCTATTTTAGCGGGTGTTGTGCAGTATATAAATAAACAATTATACAGGGTATTTCACCTAACTTGACCACCTTAAATATATCGCTTATTCTGTACGATAGAAAAAATGTCAGAGGGAGAAAATATTCTTTTTGAAGGTGCAAAATACGGCGATGGGCCGAATTTTTTTCTATAGGTCATTTATTTCTCGAGATTTCAAGGTCATCGTATTTTTTTCTAACGGGACTGGATATTTTCACTACAACAGTCTTATAGCTTATAAAAAAACGAATCCAACGAGGTGCAATATGTTGATCTTCGCCTGACCTTTAGCCAAGAAATTATGAAATGTTTATCAGTACCTTCAGTACGTGTTCGAGGACGGTAAATGAAGAAATATCAATTTCATTGAAACAGTCTTAAGTTACATTTTTATTTTAGAAGGTTTCAAAAATGTGCACCATGCATCTGGATACATTTTTGGAGGCGGTAAATAAATTCTTGCTGTACATTGTTCTACAGTAATCGATCTACATTCGTGTAGAACCCTTTGTCGCGTGTTTCGATCAACTTTTGGTTCAATTTGATACATACTATACTTACTAGTTGCTATATTTTTGTTATGCAGTCGTGCCTATTAATCATCTGTGGGCCAAACTTTTTTTCTGCAGACAACTTGCGAGATATTTACTTCGATAGTTAAAGTTGATGGTGCTGGCAACAGTAATCGATATTGTTAATGGTTATCGGAGACATTATATTTCGCAATTAAGGCGTGTACATCATCTTGTGAGAAAACTAAAATTATTTGGTTAGGGGGGCATTTCACTGTGAACGCACAAAAGAGCATATTTTCAATCATTTCTTCTCAGGAACTATTGCATAAAATTGAATGAATGTCTTTTCTCCTTAAAGGTATGATTAAGGAAAGTAAATAAAAAATTTTTTTTTGGTAAAAAATATTTCGTCATTTATTTACAAAATAATATGCATGTGTGCAAAAAAAAGTTATTCGCTGGCGCAGGTGATTTTGGCTCTCCTGGTAATCTGAAACAGAAAATCGAAAAAGTTTATTAAACTATGTCGTCACACCTATGGTCGGAACCTCCATTTATTTATTCCATCGAAAATAAACAAAATGGCAGCGTTTCTTGTGAAAGAGAGAAAAAAAAACCACTTTTTTTGTACCGTAAATCAGGTGAAATTGTAAGTAAAAATCATAATATCAACTACCAGGAGAGCCAAAATCACCTGCGCCGGCGGATAACTTTTTTTTTTGCACACATGCATATTATTTTGTAAATAAATGACGAAATATTTTTTACCAAAAAAAAATTTTTTATTTACTTTCCTTAATCATACCTTTAAGGGGAAAAAACATTCATTCAATTTCATGCAATAGTTCCTGAGAAAAAATGATTGAAAATATGCTCTTTTGTGCGTTCACAGTGAAATGCCCCCTTAAATATCGATATATTATCAAAACGTAACCTGAAAGTTACGTGGACCTATAGAGGGTTAATTAGAACTAGCGTTCCACGACGCACGCCACTATCAGTGTGTTACTTGACCCTTGAAGAAGCTAACTGAAATCCTAACGAAACATAGCCTAATAGCTTATCCAAAAGAAGTGTCTTCCACCTGGAAATGTTGGTTAGTGTTAACCATGAAGAACTTGACCATAAGAGTTTCGAATATCTTAAAAGCTATTCTGTTAAAAAAAGAAACTGTAACGAGAGGGTTCGATCCTCTTACCCCAAGAAGCTTCCTTCTGGACAGAAAGAAGCCCATCTAATTTCGAGGCTGTGGCTGTTGGACGAATCTCCTTCGTTTGGTTGGTTCAGGGTACGCCAGGTTGGTTACAATGGTAGATGACGGTGTTTTGTTCCGTAAGAGTACACCACAATGAACTGTAACCCAACCTGGTCCCATGTAGATGGGAGGAACACGTCCTGCACGCGGGCTCGAATTACGCGTACATACGCGCTGGATTTTAGATTCGCCCCTATCCAGCCCTCGAGAACTCCTCGAGAAGAGATTCGATGTCCTCCGTCTTCTAGAAATTCGATTACCCAAATTCGTCCAGGCGACCAGAGTCTCATAAAAAATAAGCTAGTGTTCGATTGAAAACTTTGCGACTACAGTGTATATTTAGAACCAACAATCTTCATAAACGGAAATATTTTAGTTTAGTTTATATCTACTTTTAAAATGGTACATATACAAAACAAAAAATTAGATTTTGTAGAAGGTTATGCGAATGTTACACATTCAAAATTGATAAAAACACAGAATTATGTGAAAATTATTTTAATTAAATGTACAATGTTTTATTAAAAATAGTTGTATATATGTAGTTAGAGTTTCATTTGTATAAACGATATTCCATATGTACCAACCTAATAGAATCATATTCGAAATACCCTTATTTTATACTTTATTTGGACCCAGATATATCTATCTGACATTGTTACACACATTGATTAAAATTAATGAACCGAATCAAAAGAATTAATGCAAGTGATGTACAGAAATTGAATTTAAATGTATATAATATTTTTATATATACTTTTAAATATTACTTCATCTAGTTTTACTCGAGTAGAGTAGTGTTTTAATAGTATTTGAATTGTAATAGATTCGAGTTGGATACAAAATAATTGATTTGCTATAAAAGGTTTTCCAAGAGGGTCTTCGGGACTTTTTGTTTAGAAAATACAAGTGATATGGAATACACGGTATGTCTAAAAAGAAACCGAACTTTTGCTATTAAAAGAAAAAAGTACAAGTAAAGTTTTTACACATACGCTTATTTACTCAAAATAATCTCCCTCTGCGTCGATACAGCGTGTAGACCGTGTAATTAGCATTTCGAAGGAAATTTGCAGCTCCTGTTTTGGTTGCTATAATGTGTCCCTTTCATTGGAATTGGCATTGTTACCTTGGATCATTCACCCTACTCGCCCGATCTGTCTCCCTGCGATTATTTTCTTTTCCCAAAATTAAAAATTCTAATGAAAGGGACACATTATAGCAACATTTCGGAGATTCAGACCGCTGTAACCACCGTACTAAACGGGGTACCAAAACAGGAGCTGCAAAGTTCCTTCGAAATGTTAATTACGCGGTTTACACGTTGTATTGACGCAGAGGGAGATTATTTTGAGTAAATAAACGTATGTGTAAAAACTTTACTTGTACTTTTTTCTTTTTATAGCAAAAGGTCGGTTTCTTTTTAGACAGACCGTGTATATACGATTTTTAAATTTTAGATGAAAGTACATGTGATTAAAATTGAATGTAAAAGATGGTATCGTTTACCAGCATGGTTACGTTGAGAAGTGTATGTTGTCGTTAAGAAACAAAATTCTAAAGTCCCTTTTGGAAATCCCCTTTGTTTCTGTAATATACATATATATTACATACAGGTCAGATTGAACCCTGTCTGTAATTAAATTGCAGTATGTAAAAAAGGGAGGATGGGCCGACATAGGTAGAGCAACGATACGAGATTGTAATTTGGTTAGTAAGTACCCAATAAACCTCTAAATCACCAGGAGGTAGGTAATTGATTCAGGCGCGTGTCCCTAATTGATTGAAATCATCTTTGCTACCCGCGGCGGTTCATGATGAATCGTCACACGAAACCACTGTATTCAATTTCACACCAACGATTATTCATAACTGATAACAGTGATACTACGTTTACCTAACTAGTAATTTAAATATACGATGAATGTTTTTTTTGAAAAGATATAAAATAAATATTTTGAGTTATATGCTTTATAAATTAAATTATTCAATATTTCACGAAAGTGAGTAAATTTTGCTAA